GTGAATGGGACATTCCCACAGGTGCTTCCCTTGCTCTGGCCAGTGTGGTCAGAGCTCCCCCAAAGAGGACGACAGAAAAGAGACAAAGAAGGAATCTAGGCTCCCGTGAATCACAAATCTCCCCAGGGTTGTGGTGCCCATCCTGGGAAAGGGGACTCCATCTCAGGTCCCTCTGGCTTCCTGGAGCAGCAGGCCAGCTCTGTGGCAGGAACCCAGAAGTTTCTGGTCCTCCCATGATCTGCCTGCAGTTAAAGGGCGTCTGGGGTCACCTGAGCTGAGTCGCCCCAGGGTGTCCCTATTACCCCTCGGGCACTTCCCTCCTGCCCCAGGAGGACTGCGTGGAAACAGTTTCCACCATGGCGCCCCCACATCGTGATGATAAAAGGCAACTATGTGCTTGTTTTGGAAATTCATTCAGAGGGAGCCTCCAGGAGGCTCAGACATGCCTTAGAGTAAAACAGCATTTTGCAACACGGAGTCTTCCAAAGGCTCTGATCCAGTACCTGCCACTCAAAGTCCAGTCTGCAGACCAGCAGCCCGGGCTTTGCCTGGGAAATGCAGGTTCCTAGGCCCGCCGTGGACCTGCTGCGCTGGGCCTCGTGTTGCAGTAGGAGCTGCATGGGAGCCACAGCGTCGGGGAAGCTCCGGCCCAGTGAAAACAGCCTCCATCTGAGAACATTCCATGGGCCCCATCCTGTGCCACCCGGGGCTCAGCAATCCAGGGAGCCATTTCCTGCGCTCTATTTTAATACGCAGTGCCATCTCTAGAATGGAAATCAACCGGCTTTTTCTATTTAATAGTGCAGAGGTGAAATTAGTGACCCTGTATGCTAATACATAAGCTTCATCAGTTCCAAGATGTTACATAAAGTATGTGTAAAAGCTGAAACGATAAACATTCTTCAATAATGACAATATTAGCATTTAAAATATTATCAATATATATATATATATATATATATATATATATATATATATATATATATTATTGATTTTTTACAGAGAGGAAGAGAGAGGGATAGAGAGCTAGAAACATCGATGAGAGAGAAACATCGACCAGTTGTCTCCTGCACACCCCCCACCGGGGGTGTGCCCGCAACCAAGGTACATGCCCTTCACTGGAATCAAACCTGGGACCTTTCAGTCCACAGACCGACCTCCATCCACTGAGCCAAACCAGCTTCGGCAAAGATAGCACTTTTAATTCTACTGATCAGAGAATGAGTGGGACAGGGGCCCCCTTCAGCTCGGTCTTATTCCAATCGCCTGGATGTGCCCGATGTAAAGGATTCTCCAAAAGTTACTTTGAGTAAAAAACCCTCAAGGAGACAATTCAATTTCCAAATGTAAATTCGGACAACGTAGCAAGGGCCCGCTATCCCGTCCGGTCCCCGGTGAGAAATGAGGTTTTGTACAGAACGAGATTGCCTTGTCACTGCTGCCGTTCCCGGGAAAGGTTTTTCAATGTGAAGGGGAGCGGTTTCTATTGGGAAAGGATTTGTTCGTGTGAAGTCGAAAGTTTATGCTTGTTATGCATGAGTTCAAGGAAGACAGGAGTGATGTAGAAAGACGTGAATGTTCAATGCCGTGTGGTTCTGAAGGGCTTGTTTCTGAGTCTTAATTATGACCTGTCATTTGTACAGAACATGAGATTCTGCCACATGTGAGCATGAAATGCGGGACCCAGCATGCCTCTCCCCAGACACACCCCCTCACCTTCCTGCACCCCCCACTGCCAAGCAGGCATCCGTCTACCGATCACAGCCCCGTGTCTGCGGGACTCAGCATTCCATTTCAGTGGAGCACATTCAGATTCTAGCTAGTTTGCTGTTACAATATGATGGTCAAACGTTATCAGCTTCCTAGAGGTGATAATAGAAGCAGCTATAGTCACTCTAGGAAAAAAACACACACACTCAACACATGAAAATAAAGCTTTTCTTGATTTTCATTATTTGACACATCTTGGTAGACGAGGAGACCTTCGTTGTAGCATTAAAACTAAATCGTGGGCATTCAGACATTAATTCCACTGAGTTGCTTCTCTCTCCCCCTCTCCCCAAATGTTGTGTGATGATCAGATGACAGAATCCAATGCTCTCCACCTTGTGTTGGGTAAAGGGGGTCCTGAGTGGAACACACTTTTGAGGTCAGAACTGTGATATTCTTTCTGGGCTGGCCTATCATCTCATCCACAAAAACCTTTGTGATATAGGCCAGCTGTTATTCTGTGACACTTTGACTCATGCCAAGGGAGCGTGGCAGGAGATAAGGAGGGTCTTACAGAGGTGCCGGGCCCTGGAGACATCTGTGTTCCAGCTCCATTCCTGGGTCCCGTGAGCTCCGTGACCTCGGACAAGGCACCTGTTCGTCCCAGCCTTGGCTTCTGTCTCAACAAAATGGGTAGAACAAGATGGCCCTTAAGTCCCAAATTTTACCTCTTAAAGGACAACTGCTTCTCCTCATTTAGGAAGGACAGAGCACCCCAGCTGTTCCCAGGTCCAGTTTTCTGCTGGTTGACCACCCAGATGTGGGCAGAGGGCAAAGCAAGGGACCTTAATGGGACCCCCTTCATCCCCTAAGCACGCTCCCCGACTTCCACTGACCAAGGAAACTGGCCATCCAAGTCGCCCTGAGGCAGCTGAGCAATGTATGTGGAGGGGGTAGCACACGACAGTAGCTGGCAATTTTATGGGGTGGTTTTCTGAGCTCTAAGCACAGTTCTGTTTTTTGTGTTGGATGCCACCGCCAGTCAGCAGGCTGTGTTTTAATTATTATTTTAATTTCATGTTGGCAGAAAGACAATGTCAGATAGTGCCCTTCAAGGGAAAGGCTTCCTTTGGGGGGCCGTTGGAGTCTCTGCACTTTTGGCTCAGGGCTCCCCACGCACACCAGGCACTTGCTGGTTTTTCCAAACTATACCCCATGCAGCCCTCACCCTGCTGCTTGAGGGGCTGAGGGGCTGTGCCTCCAGGACGCTCTGAGCCAGCACAGCCGGGCAGCTGTGCTGTGGGCACATCCGGTGTCAACAGTAGATGCTAGGACGGTGTGGTCTCCAGGCTACGGTTTGTCTGTCCCATCTCACCAGCCACTCAGCCCCAGGAAGGACTGACTGATAGAGAATACACAAGCACCTTGTCTGGCTTTCTTTGAATATCAATGAATGCTATGGTCAAGAGTTATGTGGACTAAAACACATCGGTCAATTATTCATTATGCATTTCGTTTAGCGCTTTAAAAATAATTTTTGCCAACACCCCATACTTCGCTCATGATAACAGCAATACGTTTCTCATCTCAAATCCTCCTCCTTTTATAAGTTGCAACAACCTAATGGTAAAGGTGTTGAAAAACAACTCAAAGTTAAAAAATGCCCAACAGCACAGATAACCCAGAGTTTTGCATGCTGACTTCTGAAATATGATGCTAAATCTTTAATTCTGGGCCATAACTAAAAAAAAAAAATAGTTACAGAAAAATCTAATTTAAAAAACAACACCCACAATGTTCTAAAAGTCCCCGAAATTAACTAACAATGTTTTCATAGATAAATTTTGTGTCTTTAAATAAGTACCATAAATAACAAACGTTATTTAATAAAACAAGAGAGTGGAAAGTATAGGGAATAGTAATTACAAGTCCATCAAATCAGGCCATTTCGCATCTGGGTCACATTCATAAAACTTGTATTGGAACCCGGAGGAAATGATCTCCCACTGTTGATTGTGTTTGCTCTTTTTGTATCATATATTTTCTGGAAGTTGCACAGTGCTCATCTGTTTTTATATAAATCTCAGAGATGGTATTTATTCCATATGTCCTTGTGGTAAAGTGATCAAAAAAAATATTCTCTGTACTGACACTCCCTGCCCCGTTCTGAAGGCCCCAAACGTAGTAAATTTGGACTAATTGGGAATTCTACAAAGGGGTTAAAACATTACCCCACTACCAGTCAGGTGGCCATTAGAAACGTTAACCAATAAAAGCCAGAAACAGGAAGTTAAAAAGCAGGTCCCCACGGCAGGCATGTGTCTTAAATGACATCATCTGTCAAGTTTCCAGCATCTTGTGGCCGTGAACACGGAATGAAGGGCTGTGTTGTGTGAGGACATTACATCCTCATTAGCAGGAATGTTCCTTAAGTACATAACGCGGGATTTTCATTTTAATCACAAGCAGCTACTTGTCGCCGTACTTTCATTAGATAAATACTGAACGCAATTCCACTTACAGAACTCGGTTCCTGCTCCTGAGAAAACCCCATTCAGATGCAATCATAGAATAACAATTTATGGAACTAGCCACGCAAAACTCGTGTTGTTTTGTAAACTATTCCGATTCTTTTTAAATGCTGAGATCCGTCAAGGGCAGAAAAGCCGTCGTCAAAGGGATCGGAATGACACTGTTCCTGGTGTTTGTGTGCTAAACAAACGTGAAACGGAGGGAATGGTGAGGGATGAGAATCCCTCCTCTCTGTGCATGAACCAGAGGCAACTCCTCCATCTGCCCAGCCCCAGGCCTCGGGGCTGACGTGCAGAGAGGCCACCCTGAGAACCGAGGAATAATTCATCCAGCGCCGTCGCCCGGCCCCAGCCTGTCTCTAAAACAAAGACTGACAATTGCCCTGAATTATGGATGTACTTTTGCGATATGTAATACAGTTCAGAAGAAAGGTGTTGAGAGCTTCGCACCACTTCACCTCCCATTAGAGGCTGGTCTTGAATGATAATACCAGAAGATGAAACTGGTGCTGAACTCTGACCCTCAATTTACAAATCATTTTTCAGGAGAATAAAAAAAAAATAAAAAAGTTTAAACATCTTTTTGGCATTATCTGAATGGGCGGAATCTTTCATGCTTGTTTCCTGAGATTAAATGCAAACAGCCTGTGTGCTGTGGTTCCTTAGTTTGGGGAGAGAGAGAAACAACATGAGGGTTTCAGATTAGATTTTATTTCAAACCTGGGCGTTTGAAAAAAATATACTTTTTTTTTTTTTTTAACATAGCTAAATGTAGTGTATCCCTTCAAAACACAATAAATTTCTATGCTGTAGCTTAAGGGGTCCATCAGTAAAAAAAAAAAGGTTGGTCTTTCATCTTTATTACCCTCCCATTAAAATGAAAGAAACCCGGACACACTTCAGTTTGGAAGAAGCAATTTAGCTGGCGATGCCCTCCCCCCATCAGATCTCCACTGGGGGAGCCGTGCGTTTCTGCTTACTTGTCACACGTCACGCGTCTACCTGCATAAGGAGCACCCGATCCCGCAGACGCACACACGCTGCGTTCGATGTAACAATATTCTCTGACGAGACGACGTGAGGGACACGATTTTCCGTGACCGGCCATTTCCGGCGGTGACGCTCCTGAAACCTGTCCCCTTCCCTTGTGCGCTTGTGTGTCTGGAAGCCAGGCGGAGTCCCTCTTCTCTGCCACCGCCGCTGGGACTGAAAGGGACAGATTAATAACCGAGCCCCGCACCGGGCCGGCTTCCCTCGTCCCCGGCACCGGTAACCCTCTGCTATAATGAGGACACAAAGAGCCTCGCATCAGGCCGCCACCTTCCCTCATAACTCACGGGCCCGCGGTGGCAATAGCCTCCAGTGCCATTTGTCTTTAGTGCAGTTGTGACACTTCGGCATGATCCATAATTTGGCAGCTATTTACCGTGACATTTCCCTTCAGTGCAGCCATAACATTCAGTGAAGCCGTGATTTGGTCCCATTTACCATATAAATTGTATTGTTGTGCATGCATGCTAGCAGCGACATTAGGTACCTGAAAATGAGTAAATCTTGTAAAACAGCTACGGACAGCTACGGGGCGGCAGCATTCCCTGGCTCCTCAGACGGGAGCGAGAAAAATTAAATACTGTCACCCAAGTTTTCTGGACCTTTTTAATTGTCTTCCTATGTATTTAGCATGTGAGAGAGGCGGAAACCCCGGGCTGTGAAAGCATCTGGCGGGCGCTGCCTCCTGATCAGAGAGGCACCCTGGGATTTCTCAGTTCCCAGGGAAGGCTGCAGCCGCCTTTGGTGAGCTGAAGGTTAGCAGGCAGGCAGATCAGCGCCAGGCAGGATTCACAAGAGGAGAAGGCACTGGACTGGTTACGTTTAAGTGTGATAATCAGGTGCCCGGGACAAGAGGAGCCTCACTCCACCAGGACCTTGGAGAAGTGAAATGGAAACCTAGCAGCAGGGGCTGCTATTGTTCCCATGATCGGAGAGAAGCACACCTTCCGTGCCAGACAGCCTGACACAGAGCTGGCGTGTTATCACTGGAGATTTGGGTTTGCTCTGTCCTGCCCCGGCGTCCACAAGGACCCTCCCGTGGTGTGCCCGGTGTGGTCTGCCCTTGCGTGGCCCTCACGCTGCTAGGTGGACCTCATTGTGGATGGGACTCACACTCCTCCCGGGAACGTATTAAGTTCTCAAAGCCCCCGGATCTGTCGTCCCCTCTCCCCACCTTGCTTTTTGTCTGTGTAAGTTTTCAGCACTGATTTGCTTCCTAAGGGAAGAGTGAAATTTTCCATTCCACATGTGCCTCGCAGGCACCAGAAGCCTCCAGTGCAACTGACGTCTTTTACATAGGTCTGTGTTCACGTAATCATTTTTGCTAATAATCTAACCAAATCAAAGTTTTGGAAGGATCCCTCCGAATGTCTGTATGGATAGCTGGCTAGTGATTTATCAGCTATGAAGGGCCCTTTCCTCAGAATGTGCACTCGGAAATGGGGCTGGTTTTTTGTGGTGTCTCTCCTTTATTAACTACCTGTTAGCCCAAGACTAAACTCTCCCAAAGCAAAGAATTTGTGAACTATTTTTAAGACCAATTTTAAAATCTCATCAAGCTGAAGACATACTGATTTGATCAGCTCTCCCATCAGGAATTAATTTAGTTCCCAGGAACAATAAAATCTGGAATGAGACTGTCCATGACCAAAGGGTTGAATGTAAAGGTTTTACCTCTGAGCCTGGGAGGGAAGTTTTATTAGCACTTTTTTTTTTTTTCCCAAGAGAGGGGTAAAAAGAGAAAAAGAAAAAGAAAAGGAGAAACCTGTTGTAACACCTTAGTTTCGTTTTAAGAAATATTATCTCCATTAATGACCAAAAAAAAACTGATTTGAGTGATTCTGAAGCATCAAGTACCCACTTTCTTTCTCTCCTGATTTATGCCATTGTTTGGCTTTTACAGCTTGCTGTTGACAGGATGAGGTAATTCAACTACAATCTTCCCCGTGTTTTTCCCCAGGTACATGTAATCGACAGCGCGGAACACGGACTCCAGGCCCTTGAACCTGCCCTCCGTGGACAGGTCGCCCAGGTCCACCTGGCACACGAGGTCTCCACTGGTACACATCTTGATCAGGTGGTCCATGGATGCTCTGTACTCGGAAAGGTAATGGTTTAGGAAGAAGCCCTGGATGCGGGCAGACTTCTTCAGCAGTTTGGCGGGTAACATTCCTGCTTTCACAGGGGAAAGGCCAGTAGGGGTTTGGTAGCCAGAGATAAACCCAATGACTATCAGACACCCTTTGGTGGCCAAGGCATCTACTGCCAAGTCAAACATGGCGCCCCCCACCGATTCGTAGACCACATCCATGCCTCTGGGGTACTCCCGCTTCAGGACGGTACCCACATCCTCGGCTTTATAGTTGATGGGGCGATCGCAGCCGACAGACTTCAGGAAAGCAGCCTTCTCTTCGGAAGAGCAGGTCCCGATGACATGGCACCCGGCCTTCTTGGCAAGCTGCACGGCAAACTGGCCTGTCCCCCCGGCCGCTGCCGTCACCAGCACTTTCTTCCCTTCCTTCAGCCCGCCGAGCTCTTTCAGGCAGATGTGCGCGGTGGTGCCACTCACCAGCAGCGTGAGGTACTCGGGTGTGGCAGAGGGCACTGGGATGGCAATGCTGGCTGGCACCACTGTGTATTCAGCAAAAGAGCCTGCTGACATGTAAGCCACAGTCTGGCCGACCGTGTACCTGGCACTGGCGGACAGGCCCAAGGCTACCACCTCGCCCACACCTTCGAAACCCGCATCGAAGGGAGGCTTGACGGAGGGGTCATATCGTCCCGCTGAGTAGTTGATATCAGACGCATTAACACCGACAAATCTAGAAGAAAACATAAACATCACAAAAATATATTAAGGTGCTTTGTTCTCAAGGCCTTTATGGTCCAATTCTTGGTGAGCTGAAGGTTAGCAGCTGGGCAGATCAGCTCCAGGCAGGATTCAGAAGAGAAGGCACTCGACTGGTTATGTTCATGTGTGATATCAGGTGCCCTCTAATTTGGTGATTGTGGGGGGCTGGCTAAGCCATACATTCTGATAGAATATGAAACACACACACACACACACACACACACACACACACACACAAAAACAACAACAACAACAACCAAAAACACAGTCCTGATATTCAGAGGAGGAAAAGAAATTAAATGAGTATTTAGTTCAATAGTGATTTGCAACCAGAGTTTTGCTGTCATCAGTTTAGAAATAATTTCAATCACTTTAAAACATCAAGTTATTTCCTATGCCAGTTGTTTCCCTCTTCTTCCTTTCAAAAGGAGAAATAAATCAAAAACAAAAACAAAAACAAAAAAACCACCCTGAATATGTCGGGAAGCCTTCTTATCCACAAACTGCACTGGAGCTGAGTTGGAAATTAATTGGCCTCTTAACAAAGATGTTAAAAACAACAGTGGGATAAAATATATTCGACCAAGTACACTCGTATTGATTTTGGCCACAATTTAACACTTCAGATAATAATAGTAATGACAATGATATTATTAAAGATTGATGGAATGTGCAAGGTCATTACTGCAGGGGCTGTTTCAAAACATCGCTAGAGTGGCTGCAGCAAATGTTCTCTCTGATGTCACGATGTCCAGTGTGAAAATATGCACTTTGATTAATTGAACAAAAATTGTCTCATAAGGGGAGAGAGATTTTATGGAGCATTCAACATTTTACAGTCCTTTTCAGATGAAAAGGAAAGCATATCGTCACTCTATTTTCCCTCAACAAGAAGCAGAGACATAAGTTGATTAATACCAGATGATTAGTTTCACTTTGGTATCCAGAGTCAATTTAATTGCAAGGCCAGTACTTTTACCAGCTTTTTTTTTTTTCATCTCGGTATACCTCATAACAGAAATATCCTGATCCATAAAGGAGGAAAAAACCCCACAAAACATAAGTCGTCAACTAAGAATGTCAGGAGGTGGCTTAGACACATAATGGAGGCCCCTAAAAATGTCATTTCCACCTGTAATGAAGTGAAAGGATGGTGTTATTTGGGGGCAGGAGCAAAGCTGGGAAGTAGGTCATTTTAAAATAATTCACTTTTAATTTAACTTAATAGAAACTGCTCTGTACCAGGACCCGCTTCCATAGGTCTATCGGTGGTACTTTGCCCTTAAAAACGCTCCCTGATGCTTCTTCTGCCTTGTGTGTCTGCAACACGGAAAGCTCTTTGCATATTGTAGAAAGAAGGAAGCAGGAAACCATTTCTTTCTAGCTCATCAGGCAGCTTTGCTTTCCCGAAGTGAGCACATCATACAGCCTCCCTGAATTCTAAAAGCCACAGCATTCCATGCCCATAAAGGATATGCAGTCATGAGAAATGGGGAAATGGTTTTTGCAGGTTTCCCATTTGGCATTATTTGGCATTTAATGCCAAGATGCTTGTATTCTATTTGGGGAGATGGGGGGGAGGGGGAGGCTGCTCTCTCTCTCTCTTTCTCTCCTTGAAATTTACTCAGTTCTCAAGGCCCTGTCTTTGTAAAGAGGGCCAGCTTCCCCAGAGCAGAGCCAGCTGCCTGTCCTCCTAGAAGCAGCCAGGGCCCAGCCCAGCTGCAGTGCCTCTGCCTCCCGGAGACCCAGCCTGGGCTTCCAGGCAAACTCCCTCCAGGAGGGCTTCCCTCCATGAAAGTGAAGTGAGGTTTGCTTGGGAAGTGGGGAGTCCACCATTAACCCTTCCCAGCCCCCTTGGGTCCTGGCCCTCTGAAGAAGCGCCTTTCTTGTGTGGGGAGACCCCGCCTAGGACTCCGGGGGAACTCCATGGTGCTGGCCAGCCCCTTGTGTCCCTCCCCGCACCCCACTTAGGACCCGTGAGCGGAAAAGCTGTGCTGGGGGAGGACTCAGCCCCAGCTCGCCTCCTCCCCAGGCTGTGGTTTACCGCTTCCAAGAAGAGAGGTGGGAAACCCAACATCGCACATATCAGGAGGAACGCAGGAGGGAGGGAGGGAGGGAGGGAGGGAGAGAGAGAGAGAGAGAGAGAGAGAGAGAGAGAGAGAGAGAGAGAGAGAGAGAGAGAGAGAGAGAGAGAGAGAGAGAGAGAGAGGGAACACACACGCTACAGGGGACAGAGGGCCAAGTGTGTGCTTGGTGGTGGCGGTGGGGGGAGGGGGCAGTGGGCGCTGCTGGGAGCTGGGGTGGTTGCATTCGATCCACAGAAGCTTGAGTTTTCCATGGGGGTTTTGCCTAAAACATCAAGTCAGATGTTGTGGTGGAGCCCAGCACGCCCCAGAGCAGGGACCAGAAAGCCACAGGCTCCCGCACGCCCCAGTCCAGGTGGCCTCTGCGCTCAGTCTCCTCGGAGCCCCCTGGTGCGCCTGGGTGTGCCTGCTGGGGGCCAGCAGTCACTGCTTCCCCACTGCCTCCCTGGGACTTGAGGGCCACTTCTGACTGCCCGACCCTCTGGCCCCGCGTGGCTTCTCCACCGCCATCAACTAGAGGCAGGACCAATGCCCCCCACTCCAGGCGTGGGCTGGGGTGAGGGGACTGGCCCAGGTCCGCAGCACCCGGACCTGGCCTCCCGGGCGAGGCAGGGGTCCTGTGATGCGCCCACCATGGAGCTCCCGCCCAGGCAGGACAAGGTCTGGGGTAGCCCTGAGCACCCTGCATGGCTAGGCGCAAAGCCAGTGGACAGAGACCCCGGCTAGAGGCTGGACCGTGACCTTGGCTTCCTAGACACCCCCATATTTCATAATCCTCTCCTCCAACCGTCCTGCATAGTGGTGAAGGGATCTAGGGCTGGTGGTGAATCCAGATTCCCCAAAGCTCGCTCTCTCCAGTGTCTCCCAGCCTCTGGCATGGCCCCCGCCTTCCCCCAGACCCTGTTTTGACTCTGCGAGCCCCCCCGCCCCCCCAGGGTGTAAGGGAGCCGCCAGGGAGGGCCCAGATGCGCCTAGGTCCTTACCTGGGCTTTGGAAACAGCTGCCTGGAGGGTCCGGAGCCCTTGAGCTCCATTCACCAGAAACAAGTTCAAGAGCAGCGGCACCATGGAACAGGGGGGCCCCGGGTCCGAGTGAGCAGGACACAGGAAGGGGGAGCGATTGGGGAAAGACCACTGGGAAGGAAGCCCGCGCCAGGAGGCTCCCCTTGTGCCCCTTTAATTTAAAATATGTGCTTTTAAGGAGGGTTCCAGCGATCCGATGGCAGGATCCACTCAAAAGATTAATGTGGAGAAACCTCAGGACGGACGAGGCGGGCTCTCCCCTAATATAGACCCTTCTAGAGTCACCCGTTTATTTATATTAAAAAGTGCTGAGCCCCTTCGTCATGTTTATTGTGAAACAGGGCAGTCCTGCGGGGAGGGGGGGGGAGGGGGCGGCGGAGGGGGACGGTTTCTCTGAACAAAACCCAAGGCGAAGATTCTAGTCCGAAGCCAATGCCTTCAATACCGGGAGACAAAGTCGTCCAAACCAGATACTTACTTTAAAAATAAATAAGGAAAAAGAAAGAAAAACAGAAAAAAACAATTTGGCCTGGAGAATCCGAAGAAACACTACTGTTCCCCTCCCGTGAGCAACAAACCCTTTATCAAAAAATCAAAAAAACGCCTTCCCCATCCCCTCCCCCCTCCTTCCCCTCCCCGCAAACTCTCAGCCCCATTATCTTACAAGGGAGCAGAAAATCGTTAGAAATATTTAGAAACGAAATACTGTGTCATTATGGTACTAAAAATGCTAAAAATAGCGCTCAAACTGGCTTCACCGGAGGGTGTCTTGCTCGCTTTCTTTTTCTTTTCTGAGATCCGGTAATGGAGAGGACACTGAAGTTGTCCTGGGAGGTAGGGAACAGGAAGGTGAGAACTATAGAAAGGAGCATCAATTGTAGGTCTCTGGGGAGTTTACCCTTCTCACACCTTCCCTAAATGGTGAACTTGACTATTCTAATGGTTGTGGAGCTTAAAAGCACTTCCCTCTCTGCAAAGAAAAAAAGATCTGTATTTTCTGTTGAGATGTGTAAATGGTTCAAGTGAAAGAAAAAGTCAGATTTCTACACACCTTTCCAAATAAGTAAATTTGGGATTAATCTATTCAATTCCAGAGCAATTTTATCATAATAAAAAGGAGAAGCATATGCATAAAATTTTCATGTAATTAGCAGTGTTCTGGGGAGATTTGGCCTAGAATTAAGATGAACTAACCTTCAGTGAATTATTAAGCCTCTATTCTTAGAGAGAGAGAGAGAGAGAGAGAGAGAGTCCGTAAAATGCCACCTCCGCTGACCTTGCCTGCAAGAATAAAGGATCTTCCTACAGTAGGGGGACAGGGGCAGGTTGGCCAGCAGAGTAGGGAAGAGGGGCGGCAGAGGTTGTGCCCCCTCCCAACATGCAGAAAACTGGTTCCGTTTGTTTTCTTTCTGTCCTAGGCTTCAAGGTAGAAGTTAGAGGTCAAGTTTGTATATATCAATATACTATTTATATTAAAAGAGATTTTTGGCATAGGTGGCGGGGAAAAGGTATGGATCTTAAAGCAACCCAAACTGATGAGCTCCAAATTGAGGGCCGGTGGTCCAGAGCACTGACCTGGAGTCCAAGACTCAAGCTGTCGATGCAGCGCCAGGGGAGCATGGACACCCAGTGGGGAAGGGGACGGTGAGGGGGGACTGTGAGTGTGAAGGGAGAGAAGTCTCAGGAGGGGGGACATCCTAGAAGTTGATATACACTCTTGGGGGAGAGGCCAGGAAAGCACCAAAGCCTGGTGGGAGTGACCTCCACCCAAGGCGCTGGAGGGTGGTCCCAACCTCCATGCGGCCAGTAGTGCTCTAACCACTCCCCTCCCCCACCGCTGCCAGGCTCAGTGGCCTCCTCCCCATCCCATACCCACTTTCTAAAAGGCGTTTTACTCCAGCAGCTGTGTGTGTTTACCTCACGGATCAATCAATAGTGTACTTCACCAGGAAGAGGAGACAAAAGCCTGTGAGAAACTTTTTGCCTGCTCAAGTCTGTTTGGAGCTTTTCAGCCCGGGGCTCCTCTTTGCTTCCAGCAAGTTACTCGCGTGTTTTGTATTTCTGAACACACACAAGCCCTCCTTTTAATCTTGGCTGGACCCATGTCCTGAACAGCCCCAGCACTGCATCCCATAATGAAGAAATCCTCAGAAGCCCTGTTTCCACCGTAGCAAACTTTTTAAAGAACACACACATCCCACCTCGACTCAATCCCATCCTTGGTCCACTCAATTTTTACATTCCCAACACGTTCCCAAAAGTTTTATATTGAGATCAGAATTCTTTAGTCTCACAGTATTATTTGGAAGGCTGATCTGAATCCCCAAAAAATGGACTCATTAAAGGTTGCATCAAGCTACTCCTTGCAGGGGGCTGAGAGCACTTCCCAGCGCGCAATTTACAACACAGAACTTTCTCCTCCCTTGCGAGTATTACTCAACCTGAACCATGCAATCCTGTAATCCTCGGACTGCCCGGGCAGGCGGAGGAGTCCTGCTCTGGCGAAGGGGATGGAGGAACCAGGCACCGGGCGCCCCGCCTGCAAGCCGGCGGGGAGTGGACCCACCCGGAGAGAGACCCCCGAGGAGGGCCTGGCTCCACAGAGCAAGATCCCATTCCTTCCTGCTGCCTCACCAGTGACCACAGATTAGTGAGGCGGAAACACTTTAAGGTGAGGCGTGTAGGGGAGGAAAAGACAGAGGGTCAGGCAAGAACCCCAGAAGATCTCTGAAGAACGTGCGGGCACATGCAGCCAAGGCCCCCGCCCCAGACGCCCCGCACGCGCGTCCTTACCCTCCGGGGCACGGACCACAGTCACACACCACTGACAACACGCGGACGACCCCGGCGAGGTGCACACCAACACACACTCAAACACAGGCTCTGCCATGGCGAGGCGAGGCTACTGCCAACCTGGCACGGGCAGGAACGCCAGCCTGGTCCCCGGCGGCCTCCTTCCTTCCAAGCACGTTACCCAAAGGTCGCAGCTCGGGTCCAGGCGGCTCCCGCTCCGCCCCAGAGACTGTGTGAACGCCGGAGCCCCTGGTGCGCGCGGGTGGGTGGGCCGGGCGGGAAGCCTCGGCTTCTGGGTCCCCTCGGTTTTATTTCGGGAGCGGGAGGAGGGAGGAGGGGATACGGGTGGGGAGGAGGGGAGGGGAATCCCAAATCAAAATAACCCCCGTTATGAGGACGTTCGGTGGTGGCATCGGATATTCACAACAGCAACAGTCACATTGCATTCGCCTTCGCCAGATGGCGGCGGGTTCAACTTCCCAGAACCTCGCCAAGTCGGGCTGTGCGCCCGAGCGCGCCGGGCGGGGTGCGGGGGCGCCGGCGACCCGGGCGGCCCGGGGGAGGCGGGGCCGGGGCCGGGGCGCGCGCCGGGCTCACCGGTTTCGGACGAGGAGGTCTCCGTCCCCGGGGAGCGGCACCGGGCAGTCCCGGCGCAGGGCGACGGCCTCGCGGAAGTTGGGGCTCAGCCGAGTCACCACCAGCTTCTGCATGGCGCTGGGGATGGCGGAGCCCTGGAAGTCCAGGAAGTGGCGGGAGTACGACATGTCCACGATCGTGCGGGCCGCGGCGAGCGCCCGCCGCCGCAGCATAGTCCGCGCCGCCGCCGCCGCCCGCTTTCTGAGCCGCCAGCAGGCCAAGGTCGCGGCCAGCCCGGGCGGTTGGGTTCGGCTGGGCGCGGGCGGAGCCGGCGGGTCCGCCCCTCCTCCGGCCCTCGCCCTCCCCTCGGCTCCCCCCCTTCCCCTCCGCGCTCGGCGCCCGCTCCCCCTCGGGCGCGCGGCTCCCGGAGTCCTCGCGGCCCCCGGAGTTCCCGGACGGACGCGCCACCCCCGGGGTCCTGGCCCGCAGGATCGCAGCCGCCCCGGTAGCTGCTCCTTTAATCTTTTTGTTTTGGTTTGAATCTGATCGGCGCGGACTGGCCGGGGAGCCTCTCCGCCCTCCCCCTTCCTCCGGCGCCGCCGGGGAGGCACCGGATATCCCCACCCTCCCCGCGCTCTAAAAGCCGGATTTGACTGCTCCAAAGGGCGAGGGGGGCGCACAGGGGTCCCATGCGTCCCACGTCCCCCGCGGCCCGGAGCCGGCGGCAGCGCCGGGCATTCGCGGAGGCGCGCCGGCCGGTGGCGGTGGCCGGCACAGGCGCCTCCCCTTCCCGTGCGAAGCGTTCACTTCCTTGCAAGGTGGTACGAATCAACCCCGAGCGCGGCCGGGGCGGCGGGGCACGGCCGGGTCCTCGGGCCGCGTGGGGATCCCTGGCTGTGGGTGAGCGCATTCAAGCACTGACCTGGGCGCGGGGAGGGGGCCCTCAGTGTTCCCCTCTGAGCCCCAGGCTCCTGGTCCGCTGTCCCCCTAAATGCCTTGCTCGCATCTCTGCCCCTCAGTTTGCTCCATACAAGTTGTAGGAACTAAGGAATTTCACTTATTTTGGCCTAGATTTCGTGTTTTTTGTTTTTTCTTCCCTCATGACTTTTTTTTAAAGTAGCCTCTCTACAAGACAGATACAGGGTTATCCACTGGGAGAGAACACACATATTGGAAACCAGAGGGCCAAATTCCTAGAGCACATAAACATTTTCAACTTCTAGGTGGGGATGCTAAAGGACTTAATTGAATTGGAGACTTTGCAGTGATGTATGAAGACCTCCTTTTATAACCCAGCTAGAGAGAGCTTGCAGTTGCAAGTGTGTCAATTTTCTCCCTAATTGTCTGTATTGACCAAATAATCAATTCACTTTTCATAGAGGGACCAAATTAAATATTTTCCACGTTTTCGTGAGATGAGCTAAGTCCAGCTTGAAATTTTTATTAAAGGAATACGTTTCAATTAAAAAAAAAAAACACCAAACCAACAACCCTTGCTTTCCACTTAACCCATGAATTACTAAAACATAAAAGCCACCCAACCCCCAATCAAATTTAACCCCCAAACTAAGACTGCAAAGGTGACACGGGTATTTTTATCTTAAATGTAGGACAATTCTTCATCCAAGGGTAGTTTATGCCTACATGGGTACATGGTATGAATGTACAAGGGCGGGGGGAGGGGTATTAACAGGTTTAAAAAAATCTGCCAGTGTCTACTGAACTTGGCTTTAGAACACATGGTTTTACCCAGTATCAGCCAGTGGATTACAATAACACACCCCTCAATGTCTTTCTCCAAAACTACAATCTTTTATGTTGTGCTGTATTAAGATTTCTTTTTCGGTGTCATATTGTTTAGCTCCAGAAAGAAAAAAGAAAAAAAAAAAGAAAAACACAACACAAAGCAATTAAAAAGATTGACAGGTATGGTTTGTGAGAGACCTATTTGTAATTGTCAGGGTGACGTTGGCGAGAGGAGGAGGAGTAAAAACTGAAGCAGGAAAAGCAGCTCGATGTGTCTGTCTATCAGTTGAGACTGTCTGAAAGCTCTGCGATCGGAATGTGTGTTATATTTCACTGAAAAGAGGAGAGAGCGAGAGTGCATCTCCCTCTCTCTCCCAGGAGTTTGGGAAGGGGGGGGAACCGTCCACGCTCATCTCGCCCACCCAGTGAACGACGGCTCTGTGCCCCTTTGCACGCACTCTCTGGGTTGTTGTTGTTGCCTTTTTTTTTTTTTTTTGAGTGGGGGGCTTTTGTGTATTTTTCATTTTTTTCTTTTCTGTTGGAAGATCAAGACCGGCCAAAAAAAAAAAATCCATGATCAAAATGTGTTTGTATTAGATTTCGCCTTGGAAGAAGCGGCGATCCTGGCGGCAAAGCCAAGTGGCACCAAGTGGCGCTCCGGGCCGGCCGGGTGACACTGTTTGATCGGTGACTGTTTGGAAGGTGGAGCAGCGCCTGACATCTCCCCCCGGCGCGCGCGAGTGAGGGGGCTTCCCTCCTCTGTCTTGTTTGCTTTCTTCCTCTTAGACTAAGTGCTGGAGGAAAAGGACAGCCCGGATCGGCCTCGCTGGCGCTCCATGAGAAAACTGCGACCCGCGCCCTGAACACACCCGCCGCGACCCCCGAGCCGCGAGGAGAGGGGGGCGAGAAAGTTGCGCTCGGAGACTCCGGGTTCCTCGCGGAGGAAGGCGCGGGGCAGCGCCCGCAGCGGCGCCGGAGGAGCGCCCGCCGGCAGCAGCAGCAGCAGCGGCGGCCGCGCGGCGGCGGCGGGAGGCGGCGGCATGGAGCGCGGGCCGCGGGCCGGCCCTCCCAGCGCCCACCGCCGCGCCCGCGGCCCGCGCCGGGGATGACTCCGGGCTCGGCGCCCAGGCCCCGCGCGCTCCGCCCGCAGCCCGGCGGCCGGGACGCGGCCCGCGCGGCCGCCGCCGCCGCCGCCTCCTCCTGAGCGGCCCCGGGCGCGGCGGTCCATGCGAGCGGCTCCCCGCGGTCCGCGGCGCGCCCGGAGCCCGGAGCCCGCGGGGACGAGGCCAAAGTTGGGCGCGCCGCGGAGTTGCGCCCGGGGCCCCGCGTCCCCGCGCCCCGCGAACTCCGGCGGCGGCTGAGACGAAGGAAGGCTGCGGCGGCCCGAGCAGCATGCCGAGGAGGAAGCAGCAGGCCCCCCGGCGCTCGGCAGGTAATGCGCGCGGCCGCGCCGTGGGGAGCGGGCCGGGGAGCGGGCGCTGGGGGCGCGGGCGGGCGGGGGCCGCGGGCGACACTCCCCCCGGAGGCCGCGGCATCC